TAGTAGTAGTAGTAGTAGTAGTAGTAGTAGTAGTAGTAGTAGTTTTTGTTGTTGTTGTTGTTGTTGTAGTACTAAGTCTACTTAGAACGACTGCAATGTTGCTTAATGCCAAAGTATTTCGTTGCCCTTTTGACCTTTGATAAAATGGGAAACCAATTTATGCTGCAAAATGAACATTTTATCTAAATTGTTGTAAATGCAAGATTGGCTGGTGCCCAATGAAGATGTACATGGATACGAAGATCTGCTGCATTTTTTGTCATGTCCTTGGCCGAATGCAACATTTCTGCTTGGAAAGACCTCAACTGGGCTGTTTTCAATGTCATATTTGTTGTTGTTGTTGTTGGGAGGGCTTTTTCGATGAATAGCAGCAAACACGATGTATACCAAGAGAGAGAATAAGACAGGTTCGTAAGGTTTCTACCAGTCCAAGCTGACTGCCCGACTGAGGGTGGTTGACGATGCCTTCTTTGAGCAGTTGGTGAAAGAGTCGTGTCAGTTGAAGTACAGTTACCAGGTCGTGTTGTTGAAAGGGTCCAATCAACGAAATAATGTCCGATCGGTTGTGTTGCCGGCAACTCGGCATCGTCTTGATCCAGGGCGAGGGGGGCATAAGAAGAATGGATCCCTCGCAGTGGACATCGCGTATTGTATGGTCAGCAGAACGGGGTCTTTTTGGCGAAGACAAACCGATCGTATGAAGCTCGAGCTCTTCCGAAAGGTCTAAAACAAGTGGACACACGAAAGCATCTCATGAAAAAAAGACAAACCGACAACTCTGTGTGTATTTTTGCCAACATACAGCTACAACATTGATTTGGTATCATCTTCTTCAACTTGGTCGTGTAGTCGAGTTGAGGATACCTCAAAAAAGGTCATTTGTCCGGCATTCTAAACCGTAATAATCATGATCATTTTCATGCTCAGACCGGGCACTTGGTAGCTTCTCAGACCATTGAAGTCCACTCGTTGACCAACTTTCTGCTGAGAAGCTACCCATTCCACGGTCCAAAGCAGGAAGTGTTGCCTTGACAACACGGTCCAACTTGCGAATATGGGGCCAGACAAATTGTATTCCGGGACAAGAGACTGCATCAACTTGATCTTAATGCCGAGGATTATGCATGCTTTCAGTGCCAAGATGAAGCTTTTATTATTCCAGACTTTTATTTATAGTTGGACTATGCATTATTTGTGATTATTATCGAAATGTATTTACTCATAATCGTTTGATTCTTTTTCGCAACAATGCATCAATTAGAATAGAATGCAATTACACTCGTGGAGCCATAAATTGCTCAAAATTGGAATAGCTCAGAAGATTAGAAGATAGTTCTGTACCTCAAATCACACAGGTTGGATATTCACCTAAATGATGTGTTTGGTCGCAAAGCAATCAGACGCAACAGCTTTCACATAAAAGGGATGGAATTGGTGCTTCCATAATGAAACTTGACAATATTTTATTTCACTTGAGGCTGGCCAAGACTCATACTGTACATTTGATGCAGACGAGCTGCATTCACACTTTGATTTATTTGTCAACGAGTACCAGACCATTTAA